ACATCCTGCTGCTGATGTTACACGGTTAAGATGGATACATCCTGCTGCTGATGTTACACGGTTAAGATGGATACATCCTGCTGCTGATGTTACACGGTTAAGATGGATACATCCTGCTGCTGATGTTACACGGTTAAGATGGATACATCCTGCTGCTGATGTTACACGGTTAAGATGGATACATTCTGCTGCTGATGTTACATGGTTAAGATGGATACACCCTGCTGCCAATGTTACATGGTTAAGACGGATAAACCCTGCTGCCAATGTTACACGGTTAAGATGGATACATCCTGCTACTGATGTTACATGGTTAAGATGGATACATCCTGCTGCTGATGTTACATGGTTAAGATGGATACATCCTGCTGCTGATGCTACATGGTTAAGATGGATACACCCTGCTGCCAATGTTACATGGTTAAGATGGATACACGCAGCTGCCAATGTTACGTGGTTAAGTCCTACCTTACCAATATCACATTTGAGTGAATACAATATTCTGGAGATTAAATTCAAGACATTCTACAAATCTAACTTATAGTGAAAAATGTGAATAATAAATACAATGTTTATGCAACTGGTACCTACAGAAATAAGTAGTAAAACATATTACTCACTATATTACAATTACCAATAAATTATCAAAAAAAGGCAGTACAAAAAGACAACAAATACAGATAAACAAATAAAACTTTTTATTACCCATGCTCTCATTTTATTTTAACTATCTTTTTATCAGAAGATTGATATCAGGATATAAAATAATGCTCACAGTCTGTTTATCATTCATATTATTTAAAACATTCATTCTCCTTCAAGATTTGAACATTTCTGAAGGTCTATTTTTTCTCACATTAAGAATGATTGAAATACAAGATAATTCAAAGTTACATATTTAATATCTTTTCAGAATTATCATCACTAAATATTAGATATGTATTCTAAACACTGCAATATACACTGCTGAAATATAATCGTCCTTATACTTGTAATGTTGGTTTTATGTAAATTACCGATTTGGATATTACGATGACCAAGGTAACGTCATTGGTTGAGGGTTTTGAAGATACGACATCACTACTGCAGAGATTGATAACCTATAAAAATAAAAACATGACTTTTGTTTATCTTTAGTAAAATTAGGTAGTTTAAACAAAACTAACGATTTGATACCCGAAATATGAGTTGACTAAAAGAAGCATAACAAAACTTGTTTGATTGTTGTGAACAAAAAGACTAAGTAAGTTTGATACTCAGATCCCACAAACATTTCCAAAAAAACTGTCACGGTTTCTGAAATCTTTGTAACATCAGAGATATATTTGAAGAATCAAATATAAATAATTACATGTATTAAAATGGAGTTTTATATGCACATCTTCCAATATCATATATAAATGTACTTGTAAGTAGATTTTAAAACTTCAGTCCTTTCTCGTTAAAATACCATGCAGGTACTCTTAATCAAACTACTGATAGTTAAGTGTACATTACTTTTTGAGCTACTGTGACTATTAATGCTACGTACATCTGCATCAGCTGTGTAATTTCTTACACATGTTTATAAGTTTAGTACTTCAGTTTTACCTGTTTGTGTGTAATGTTTATAGATTGATAACAAATTACAAAAACACCCAGAACATAACAGATACAAAGATCAAGGAAACTTTGTAGCCTGAGAGTAAAGTTTGAAAATTCAACTTTCAGACTTTGTCAGTGCTGTTTGTAACAACGATTTGTTAGTTAGTGCTGCTTGTAACAATGATTTGTTAGTTAGTGCTGCTTGTAACAACAATTTGTTAGTTAGTGCTGCTTGTAACAACAAAAGCAGCACTGACTAACAAAGTAACAAATATTTGTTAGTCAGTGCTGCTTGTAACGATTTGTTAGTCAGTGCTGCTTGTAACGATTTGTTAGTCAGTGCTGCTTGTAACAACGATTTGTTAGTCGGTGCTGCTTGTAACAACGATTTGTTAGTCAGTGCTGCTTGTAAAAACGATTTTCTAGTCAGTGCTGCTTGTAACAACGATTTATTAGTCAGTGCTGCTTGTAACAACAATTTGTTTTATCAAAATCTCTCCTACCTGATGTTATTATATATATATATATATATATTACTTCCCCTTTTGTCTAGCTGTGTACTTTTGTTATGTTTCTCTAGGGGATCAACAGAGCTTATTTTCTTTTACTCCATGTGAGTGTTAACAATTATATGAGAATGTATAACTACAGCACTGAAATATATTCTAAATAACTGAAGATCTTGATATTTTAATAACTGCAACTGAAATGATTGAAAGAACACTCCATCACCAACTTGCATAGTCTTAATTCAGTAGTTTTATTTCTCTCAGTTGAAATTTTTAAAGCACCTGTATACAACTGGTTTCTTAATAATGCAGTTACACTTTATAGTGCTGATAAGATTATTTCAATGAGAAATGCATGTGCTTAAATGGAAATATGTAGTGAAAGAATGTCAGGTTGCTTGCGTCCTCTTGCAACTGGTGTACATTTGTTGTTTATAATCTAATATTATTGACAGTAAGTAAGATCCTATTTTTGTCTGAACACTCCTCATTCGCATTAAAATAAATAAAAACTACCCCTGACTATATGAGGAAAATGTTCAAAGTTTGAAAATGACAAGTTTCATCTTTGCAATAAAACTGTTATATTAGAACTCCAATTCTTCAAGACACACAGGTATATCCCACAAAGTATGGTGCATTAAACGAAATACTCACATAAAACTACTAAGTATCTGCTTGGTGTCATCATTGATGCGAGTGTTAGCAAAGCTAATACTGGAACAGTATAATGCAACCCATGCACACCATTTAAGCTGTCAATGAAAAAAACAAAAAATGTGTATATACTGTAAGCATTCTTACAAATAAACTAAACTTTATAGCAAAACTAGTTTAAATCTCCTTGAAGCTGAGAGAGTATATTTTTTATAAATTAACTTTATTACCTACTGATTGATATACACTGTAACTGAAAGATTAGGACTGGGCACACACAAATATATAGTTTAACTGATCAATTTCTTTAAAAGTTGCACACTGAACTTGTAACAAACATCTCATCTTAATAACTTCAATAATCAGGCAGGTGGTAACATTGCCTATGTAGGGATGGGATTGTTAATCTAAATGGTATTTTAAATATCTCCTCAATAGGTCATCATAGCTTTATAATACTATACAGTGTTTTCTTTTATATCAATAGCTATGTAATGACTAAGTCACAAGTTCTAGGAATGTCTGTAAATATCATAAGAAAATGTCTGAATTTCTTGTTTTTCTTTCTTCTGATTCTTTTTTATTACATGATAACTCAAAACCAAAACAATGGTGTCAACCAATTTCACTGAGGTAACACAGTTTCGAACGGAGTATCCGCTTTAGCAAGTATTGTAATAACTAGTCGTAATTAAAAAAAATCATAATTCTAGTGTAAACGATGTTATCATTACCCCTTGAAG